CCATCAGTATTGCTGATGACACCTCCCACCCCGCACACTCCCACTTCCGACTACTGCCTTCAGGGAGAAGGTATCGGAGTCTTCATGCCCACTCCACCAGACTTACAAACAGCTTCAGCCTCCAGGCTGTGAGGATGCTGAACACTGTCCATTACCTCCCTCCCTCTTCCCCTTGCCCCTGGACTGTGACCCACCACAAAACATAAAAAGACCACCCCTGCTATTTTGCACAAACCCAGTACATTCCCCCTTCTTGTTATATTACATGTAAATCTGCTGCTGACTGTTTTTACCATCATATCTGTTGTTGTTAGTCATTTGCACTGCTGTCCAGTTATTATATTATACAATCAGTTATTATTTGCACTACTGTCACTGATTGTACATGGTTTGAGTCATAGCCTGTTAGGTTGTACCATTTAGTTTTATCCTAATCACTTTGATTTAGTTTTCTTATTCTTTTCTAGTCTACTTTTACTCTACTTTTATTCTATTTTAGTTTCCTAAATGGTATGGCATTCAATACTAGATGAGAGAGAAACGGTATTTTGATTTTCTGTATGTCCTGCACATATAGTGAATTGACAATAAAAATCTTTGGTCTTGAGCTTGATCTCAAATGTAACTCTAAATAATATATGCAAGAGAATAGACAGGCAGAAACCAGCACACTTTCCTCATCAGCCTTATCAGATGAACATCCCTGCTGCTCCCTGTGTTTTCTGTCTATTTGACACTTGTTACGCATCTGGCATGTGTTTAATGAGCATAATTTCAGCACCAGGAGCTTTACACTAAGACCGGCCACCTCTCTCTTACCTGAATCCCTGAGCTGGAGACACCAGTGGATCAGCTACTGTAAAAGTGCAAAAGCCCCAATCAAACCAAAGATTCACATTTCAGCTCTTTGCCAAATGTCCACAAACCATTATAGTTACATGTGTTTTTATTGTCTTGATGCCCAAAATAAAAACCCATATAAATACAAGTAAACATCATTTGAAATGTGTGTACATTTATGGAAGACAGAAATGCAATCCCATGCGTAGTTCTCACTGCCCCCTGGTGCCCTTATGCTGATAGCAATATCTGGCCATTTTAAAGCCTGTTAGAGTAAAGACCAATTAGGCTAATGGGTGATGATAATTTCCAGTAGTCCAAGTGTTAAAATGCCTTTCTCTCATGTCTGTCTTTACTGTTTCTATTTTTTGCAGAAGAACGATTTCCCTCAGTGTGTTGTCTTGCATTTTATCATCAATCTGTTAAAACTTAGATGACAGTCTGCTGAGTCTGTACCTGGATGAGTGCGAGGAGATTCCCTGGGATGCACTGATGTACCTCATTGCTGGGGTCAGCTCTGGAGGTCATGTCACAGAAGACTGGGACAGCCGTCTTCTAACCACATACATCAATGACTACTTCTGTGATGCTGCCATCAACCAGCCCTTCTTCAAGTTAGGCCAATTAGATAGATAATCCTTTATTGTCATTGTAACACGTACAACAGAGTTTTAGAGTGACCTTAGAGTGAATTAGAATGTAATACTGTACACACTTCAAGTCCCTCCTGATGGGCACAGAGTACCAGCACCACCATGTGGACAATTAGATTTTTACAGCCTGGTAAATATAGACACAGCAACACCCTGATGAACACTGACAGGAACGCTTAGTCCTCACTTTTTTCACTTAATCGCTTATTTGAATGCACACAGGCACCCGTGTCCACTCACTTCATCTCTAACCAGTCCCTCACAACAGATTTAATGACTGGGGGGGACACTCGTGGTACAGCAGATAAAATGCAATTTCTTATTTTCAGGAATACAAAATTCAGATGAATTGAAGTAATCAGGATTTCATGTTGTCACTTGGTCCAGCTGGCATGACACAATTAAGGTGTGAAGTGATATGAATAATTCAGCTCCTAAAACACCAAACACCTTATAATGCACACCATAATATTTAGATGTAACCACGGTGACCAATTGACTTTACTTGGCATTATTTTCACGTATTTTCATTCTACTGTATTTTGTATTTTTACTATAACAAAATGCATAGAATTGGCTTTTTGGCATTTTATGCCTCCATGCCCATGGTAGCCATGGCCAGAGGCATTATGTTTTCAGGTTGTCCATCCATCTGGCCCATTCTCCTGAATGCTATACCTCAGGAACTCCTTGTGGGAATTTGTTTAAATTTGGCAGAAGTGTCCAATTGGACTCAAGGATGAACTGGTTACATTTTGGTGGTCAAAAGTCAAGGTCACAGTGACCTCACATCTGTCCCATTCCTGTAAATTTGACTAGTTGGCAGAAGCTGCAACCTTAAAGCAGTAATTCAAAATTTTCACTTGCAGAGATTCTGTACCTAAAGAGCACTGCACATGTACAGATTGTACAACCTTCTTTTTACCTTTGTTTTTAGCTCAAAAATGGCATGTGCATGAATATCTGTGCTCTGCTAGGGATCGCCATCTGTCACTAAAGCCTGAACTTTGTTTTAGTAATGTGTAATGAAGAGGGTGTGGCCACTATCACATAGGAACTTTGTGCATACTGCAAATTTGGTAAGTATAAGATCCAAATTACAGTTGTGCCAAATGCTGTCAAGAATATTTAAAGGTTGACACACATAATTAAAAATAAATTATTAATAATCCAGGAAATATGGAAGAATATGTGAACAAGAACTGCCAGCAGTTAGCATAGTGGCTTAAACTGTATGTCCTGTTTCTGATTTAATGTTTTCCTTTAGTCCAAAAACATGAATGAGTCACGGTACAATTCTGCTATACCTAGATCAGACTGGGTGGCAACCAAGTTTCCACAATAAATAGGGGTTAGGATGACGTATTACTAGATAAAACAGCATATTTTTCTGTGTTAGTGGACTTAGTCCTTGGAGGAGCTGGAGAAACTGGTTTAATGGGGATGTCATTTTTTTTTAGAGAAGACCCTTTACTGCATAAATGAAACCTATACTGTATATCAAGACTGTGGGAGGTGTCACACACAGAAACATACAAACCCACACTCACACACACAGTGATGAGGCTCTGGCAGGGGTTCCAGCTGCAGTACTGTCCAAACACTGCATTTTGGCCTCATTATCACTGGACCTCTCTTTGCAGTAGGACAAGAACACAGGGTGCTGTCAGCTTGGGTCAAGGGGCTAGAAAAGATTCTGGCTGCAAGTGTGTGTGTGTGTGTGTGTGTGTGTGTGTGTGTGTGGGTGTTGTGTGTGTGTGTGTGTATCTTTTTTTGATAGGTGTATTGGGTAGCAATTAGTGCTGCTGGCTCCAGCTGAGCATCCCTATTACACTGACCATTTGTAAACTAGTTAATTCTCTATCTCTTTTAAAACTTTATTTCTGTTTGTGGCTCTCATCCATCCCTTCATCCTTTTCATTTTACTAAGTGATGCTGTATATCTTTGGCCTCATCTGGTCCAATCAGCAACAACAGCCCTTCAGAGATTGTGTCCACCTTATTTATCCCTCCATCCCTGCATCCCTCTCTTCTCCACCCTCCTTGGCATGGCAGCCTGTCATTAGCTCTGAGCTCACAGACTCAAGGCTTTAATTTTGGCCTGCTTCTCTGTTCCCAGCCATTTTCTATCTGGTTTCTTGACAAGGTTGGCTGTATATGTGTATGTTCATTGTTGATATTGCACAACAACTAGCGATTATGTCTGTATTGCATGCATAGGTGCTTTCATCTCTCTAGTCCTTAGGCGGGTGAGAAATTACAGGAGAAACATGAATAAAAGAGTGGAGAAATATAACAAGTCCAGATGCTGGCATGGTTTGGGTCCACTTGTCCCATTAGAAGGGAAGTCACTGCAAGTTGTTCTGAGTGATCAACAACTGATGAAAGAAGCATAATGAAAAATACAACAGGAACACAATATAAAACAGCCAATGAGACAAGCATATTG